GGTAGAGATCAATAATTGTTTGTCTACTGCAGTTCTGCCTTCTTTTCGTATTGATTTTGTTAATCATTTTCTATTCTTTGACTTTTATTGCCCACTAAGGTTCATGCCTTGAAGCACTATTAATTATTGTCTTCCTGACTCTGTTCAAGGGTGATCTGTGGCTGCCTCCTCATCTATCCATTAGCATAGCCTTAGCCACTGTGACAGCAGGTCATGTCCTGATTTGTGGAGATGGCTGTGCTTCTTTGTTCAGTTTTGCAGGTTGTGTCTCTGCGGAAAGATGTGTCTGTCAGGTAGAACAGAGTGTTAAAGTCAATCTGAGTTTAGAAAGATGTTAAAGTGCTCAAAATAGCATCAGTTGCAGTCTAGGAGGCACAGCTAACCTCTTAGCGATAGCTGCAACTTAGCACCATCAGCATAAGAAGTTCCAGCTGCGCTACTTGTTAACACCTAAAAGAGAATTATTGGGGTCTTCCTGTTTTACACTAGGAGGTGGAACACAGCACTGTTTATTACATCTTCAGCATTGTCTGCTGCCTCACCTTCCAAACACAGGAGCAGTAATTCATTGGAGCTTCTAAGCTCTGCAAATATGATGTGCTCTGCCTGTAGCTGTGTAAACAATAGTTGTGATCTGATTGGCTGTTACAAGTCAGGGTTAGGGCGTAATAGCCAATCGGGTAGAGCTGTGGGTGGGACATTGCTTGAGACCCCAGAGTGACTGTAGAGAGAGAGCCTGTAGAATAAGAGCCAAAGGAGACCATTTCCTCATGTTTGAAATAATGGGCCAATAAAAATAACAATACCAATAATCTAAAAAATGCCAAATATTGGCATCAATAATCAGTCGGGCTGATACACAGTCGATCCCTAACACATTCTATAACAAGAATGCAAGAGCAAATGTCTGTAGTCCAGGATTAGCTGTACCTCCAGCCTTTAATGACTTACCAGAGCTGTGTGTGCCTGGATGGGACACCTCCAGATACACCTCAAATGTGGACTCAGGGCTCTCCCTGGAACAAAAAACAACAAATTATCTTTGTGCTCTCAAAGTCAGAAAAAGCTTACTTGTCATTTAGTAAAGAGCACAAGGTCTATTTCAAATTTGACTAATAAGCTAGAGAATCTGTGTAAAAGTTAGTTTGCTTTTCCCAACAAACAACTACACTTTAGTTCTCTGTAAGTTAAACTATGTAAAAACATACACATTTATTCAATAACAAAGTGCTAGTGGGTCAGGCCTTTTCCTCCTAAAGTCTTACTTGGTCTGGTGTAACCAGTAAGGTGAGTAATGTTAGCCAGTATTGCTTTATAACTACAATTACTTAGTTAGTGCTGACTTTTTTGAGCAATATCTGGCACAAAAACATCATCTTCTCTCTCATTTCCACTAGCACACGAATAGAATAGCTTAAACGTTTACACAAATCACATAACATTCATCATTCAACATTCATTTGTATGTGCAAGGGCTACTCTTCAGTAAAAAACACAAAACAGGGTTCTGAATTGGAACTGGGTCTTCACAGGTCATATTTAAAGTCATTTCTTTTATTTATACTTGAAGAAAACTCAAGAATGAGCTCTGGTAAGTTGAGAATTGCAAGAATTATATATGATTCAAGATTCAAGGCCTTTACTGGTCACAAACACATTTATACATAGTATAACGTGCTGTGAAATGTATTTTGCACTTGTTCCACACCAAAACAATAATAAGGATAAAGAACAAAACACACAAGAAATATATACATATATATAAAATAAAATTAATAAGTCAAAGTGTCAAATAGTGTAAAAGTAGAAAAAAATACAATTGAAAAAAATATACTTGTGAAGCTGATTGTTTTAAATGAGCAGGAAGTCTTACGAGTCCATTACCAGGCAGCAAGAACACTAGCCAATCAGAGCCTGCCTTTCAGTGCCTGCACAGTTCTGCTGGATGCTGAAGTGTACAACAGGCCTCAAGACGTCCAGAATGATGACAGCAAAACGTCAGTAAGAGACTGATCCAACGCCCAACAGTTCATGGCCTGGTTACAGGATGTTGATGACAAGTTTGATATACTTCACAAGGCTAAAAGTAAACACTTTCATTGTCTAAGGAGTCTACTGTTTCAGAGATCAGCAGGCGNTAACCACTTTATTACACTTGAGAAATGGCAAAGCAGCCTAGACCCATGTAACAGCATTAAAACTAGATCACATCCACTACGCCAATAACACAACGGATGTTATATAAAACAAACATACCGAATATGCTGGGAGAGGTGTAATGAAACCATGAAAATGTGGGAGGGAGAAGTCCATGTGTGGGTTATGTTAAAACTGACATGACTTGGCCATGAGCATAAAATGAACTGCATGACTGCCATTAAGGGGGAACAAAACACACAACATGACAGTTAATGTATGAGGTGCTGTGTATTTTCTGTCATATAGTAATAATGACAGGTATCTGCTGTGGCACTCATTTGAAAGGGAGACATATTTATGGATACTGTTGTCCATGTATTTGTCATACAGCTGGAGAAATCCCCAGTTGTTTGTGTCTACTGTCTATAAAATTGTTCCAGATGGGTCAAACGGAATAAAAGAAGGAAACCAGGAGTTAGGGACGGAAAGGAAACAGAATAGGGAATTTAAACAATGACAGGTTAGGAAAACCAGAACAGCAACGTGAGAAATATCTCAAGAGGTGATTGATTTTACTGCTTTCCAGAATTCTGAGGCATCTCAAAGAACATAACAAAGAGCTCAGGGTGTCAACCAAACCTCCCAACTCCCCAGATACCGCTCTGATTGAGCATCCCCAGTAAATACTGGAACAAGCCTGATCCACAGGGGCGCCACCCCACAACCCACAGGATCCAAAGGAGCCACTGCCAATATCCTCATGCCTCAGACCACAGAATACCTCTACAGGTTTAGTTTTAATGCCCTGATGAGTCAGAATGAGGAGGACCTACACAAATATAGACAGGTGGCTTTATGTTACAGATGATTAGTGGAAACAACATACTACAAAAAGAAGAACTCTGTTAAGTCTTTGAATGACCTCAGGCCTGTGGCTCCCATATGTCTTGTGATGAAAGCTATGGAGAGGGTCATAAAGAAGCACATCACCAAGGTGACTAATCCACTGATGGATCCCCTCCAGTTCGTGTACTGTTTGAGCAGGGGGGGGGTTGCTGATGCAAAAACATACATCATGGACACTGTACACAAGCATCTGGAACAACCCAACACCACAGTCACACTCTTGTTTGCAGACTTCTCCTCTGCATTCAACAACCTACAGCCACACATGGTGGAGATACTCTCCACCTGCTTCCACCTGGAGGACCAGCTAATCTTGTGGATCATGGACTTCCTGACTAACAGGTCAGAGAGAATTCTGGTAACATCTCTGACGTCTTCTTCACCTCTACAGGCTCCCCTCAGGGCTGCGTCCGATCACCTCTGCTCTTCATCCTCTATACTAATACCTGCAGGTCCACCCACCCAGTCTGTCATCTGGTTAAGGACACAGATGATACGGTTCTACTGTCCCTGTTCTCAGGCCCATCAGACTACCACAGTTCAGCACTCCAGGAGTTTGTGAAGTGGTGGGACAAATCTTCCCTGGAGCTAAACATGGAAAAGGCCAAAGAGATGGTGATGACTTTCTCCAGGAAGGAGAGGACGCTGGCTATGGTAGCTGTCAGCACAATCCATTAGTAGACGTTGGAGATGAATACAAATACCTGGGCACAATTTTTGGTAACACATTCAAATTTGCCTCCATATGATTGAGGAGGACACAGTCATATTGTGGAAATCAGTCATTCTGGACAAAATTGCAGATGTTTGAACCCAAAAGCCAAACAAATACACCCCCAAACTCTGGCCCCCAAATTCAAAAGCGCACATCACTACAGGAACAACACTAACAACTGGGCTGACAGTCCAGCTTTAAATCATGGAAGACGATGTTTCTGCCACATAGCTGAAGCAAAACAACCATAATATAACACATTTTCAAATGAATGACATTATCACACAAATGCAGCATCGAAAACACAACTGAGAAAAAATAGAGTTAACTGTTCAAATTGGTTTTTCAAAACTACGGTGACCGAGGAGAGGATTGCAGGTTTGTTGCTAAGCTAACAAGAAACAAGAAACAAGATACAGCATTTCAAATTATGCATTAATACTCCCACTGTACTTGTAAATTTGTGCTTTCAGGTCTAAGTGATACCAAAACCAGAGTAAACAACAACCCAGTCCATCATGGCCCAGACCATCAGCAGAGACCTCCCCTAAGCAGGACCATGCACATGCACTCTACCACACCACTAAAAATTTT